GGAGATGGGAGATGAGGAAGCGGTGCTGGCTTGGTTTTCAGTGGTCTTCAGGGAAGCTGTGCCAAGACTGGGGAGGAAGGCTGGGATGGATGCCGTCGCAGCTGGTGCACTCGTGCCTTGGGAGAAGCTGGACCTTGCTGTGCTGCCAGAAGAAACCTCGCCGGAGACGGTAGTTTCAGCACTGGTTGCAGAGGTGCCTGAACCGGGAGAGGCGTGGCCTCGTGTCCTAGCAGGTGGAGTACGGGATTCGGAGCTGGCAGGAGCAGTGCTTGGGCTGCATTCGGTGGCGCTGGCAGGAGCAGTGCTTGGGCTGCGTTCGGAGGCGATGCCTGTGCTTTGGAGGGTTTGTCCCGGGCCCGTAGTGCCTGAGGCCTCGGTTTCGGAGAAGCCTTTCAGGCTTGACGGGGAGGCCGCCACACTGGTGGCGCTGCCCACCGGAGCTGTGCTGGGGCTTAGGGCTGCACTTCCCGTGTTGGTGCGGGACGCCTCCGTAGCTGGACCAAGAGAGGAAGGGGCTAATTCTGTAGGATGGCCTGTAGTCATGGGTGTCGGGGTGACGGACGAGGGCAGATCTCCTCTTGTGCTTCGTCCAGTGGGAAGGGCGGACCCTTCTGTGCTGGTGGACTTCAGGACCACAGTGGTGTCTCTGAGGGCAGCGGACGTCCCAGAGGATGCGTCCGCCCTCGCTGACGGGGAGCCGTCCTGGCCCACGCTGGTAGGCCCACTGTTCTTAGTCCCCGGTTGAGCGCTGGTGGCGGAGATAGGAGATGAGGAAGCGGTGCTGGCTTGGTTTCCCGTGGTCTTAAGGGAAGCTGTGCCAAGACTGGGGAGGACGGCTGCGCTGGTGGCCGTCCCAGCTGGTGCACTCGTGCCTTGGGAGAAGCGGGACCTTGCTGTGCCGCCAGAAGAAACCTTGCCGGAGACAGTAGTTTCAGCACTGGTTGCAGAGGTGCCTGAAACGGGAGAGGCGTGGCCTCGTGTCCTGGCAGGTGGAGTATGGGATTCGGAGCTGGCAGGAGCAGTGCTTGGGCTGCGTTCGGAGGCGATGCCTGTGCTTTGGAGGGTTTGTCCCGGGCCCGTAGTGCCTGAGGCCTCGGTTTCGGAGAAGCCTTTCAGGCTTGACGGGGAGGCCGCCACACTGGTGGCGCTGCCCACCGGAGCTGTGCTGGGGCTTAGGGCTGCACTTCCCGTGTTGGTGCGGGACGCCTCCGTAGCTGGACCAAGAGAGGAAGGGGCTGATTCTGTAGGATGGCCTGTAGTCATGGGTGTCGGGGTGACGGACGAGGGCAGATCTCCTCTTGTGCTTCGTCCAGTGGGAAGGGTGGACCCTTCTGTGCTGGTGGACTTCAGGACCACAGAGGTGTCTCTGAGGGCAGCGGACGTCCCAGAGGATGCGTCCGCCCTCGCTGACGGGGAGCCGTCCTGCCACACGCTGGTAGGCCCACTGTTCTCAATCCCCGGTTGAGCGTTGGTGGCAGAGATGGGAGATGAGGAAGCGGTGCTGGCTTGGTTTTCAGTGGTCTTCAGGGAAGCTGTGCCAAGACTGGGGAGGAAGGCTGGGATGGATGCCGTCGCAGCTGGTGCACTCGTGCCTTGGGAGAAGCTGGACCTTGCTGTGCCGCCAGAAGAAACCTTGCCGGAGACGGTAGTT